CATTAAAACAGCTTCTTTAATAGACGCAGTTTAATAATTATCTCGTTTGCAAGAAATAGAGTTCTCTTTTCTGAGAACAGCCATTTCATTGTCTCATGTTTTCCATCTCTTTTTCAGTGTGTAAATCTCAGTCTCCTAATTAAAGAAAGTAGGGTACCCATCTCCGTAACCGATGAGCCAGCAGTTAAGCCAAATTAAAGGAGCTAATTTTAGAGAAGTCCTGCTAGGGCCAGAATGGGGTACCACGTGGACACACACGGTGGTCAACTGCATTTCCCAAGACGGCCACACTGATTCCTCTCTGATTTCACCTGCTTGTCTCACAATGTGACACTGACATGCCGACATTTAGAGGTGGGGTCTTGTTCCTCCCTTTGAACCTGGGTGGACCTCTGAAACTGTCTCGACCAACAGAATGCAGTGAAAATGTGGCTGTGTGACTTCTCAGGGTGAGGTTGTTGAGGCTGGCAGTCTGTCTCTCCTTCCTTTTATCTTTTAGGACACTAGCCTTTCAAACCTAGGCACCCTGTTGTGGGGAAGCCCAGGCCACATGGAGAAACTGTTGCGGAAAAATGTGTTACAGCTCAACGGTATAGCTTGGTGTTACAGCTCAGTTGTGGCAGCAACCTGGATCCGGGCGAGAGGCCAAGCAGCACTCGGAGAGTTGGAGAACTCAAGTTTATTACGCCAGCGAGCCCAGAGGAGTTAACACTCCAAGCTCTGGACCCCGCCTGTAGGTTTACACAGGCTTTTATAGGCTGCCAGTTTACACTTTGCAAAATCATATGCAAATAAAGTATAACAAAAGTTGACCAACTAGGAACAAGCTTTGTAGAAATACACCAATCAGGAGTGAGGGAAATAACCAATCAGGAGTGAGGGAAATAACCAATCAGGAGAGAGCTCAGAGAACCAATAGAATTTTAGGGTTAAGTAAGCCTTTCAGAGGCAAAAAAGTGAGATAGAGCTTCCTGGTCAGGGAACCAGATGGTACTGGCAGGAGAGTAGTGGCCCTGCCTGGGCTTCCCGCCTCAAAACCACATGTGGGTATTCAACATGACAGTCCCATACAGGCCCCCAGCCAGCATCAATTGTCAGACAGATGAGTGAAGGAGCATTTCAGATGCTTCCAGCGACCAGCCTTGGGGTATCCAGCAAAGGCCTAGCTGTACATTAGTTGAATTCTGTACCCATGGAAGTCATGGGAAATAATACATGACTATTGCTGTTTTAAGGCACTAAGTTTTGGGGTAATTTGTTCTGCTGCGATAGGTTACAAAGACAGACGCTACAGATGATGACATCAAAATTATAAATGTTGCAAAGAGATAGTTTACATAATAATTCTTATCTGTATTTCTTAGTAGTGCTGCATAAGAAAGATTTAGCAAGTTCATCGAGACAGAAATTCATCGAAACGGAAGGATTAGAGGTTACTGGGAATTGTGACAAAGGGAGTTATTGCTAAATGATTATAGTCTCCATTTGGGGTAAGAAAAACGTTTTGAAAATAGTGGTTGATGGTTGCACAGCATTGTGAATTTAATTAATGTCACTGAATTATACACTTGAATAGGGTTGAGATGGCAAATTTTCTGATTATATGTATAATCACAAATTTTTTAATTTCCAAGAAAAAAAGAAAAGGCGGTAGGAAGGAGAGAAGGAATATTTACGCTGTTGCCACATTGGTAAAATTAAAACATATATTTTTGGAAAAAAGTCTCCTCCTTCCCAAATGTACAACTTTGACTTTGTATAACTTAATTATCACTCTCATATACTATAAAAAAACTTATCTAATAAGTAGTGGACGTTACAGAATTTAAATTAAAACATAAGGAATGAAATCACTAACCATGAGACAAGATTTTTAAAACAATGTACAAGGAAAATCCTAAGAAAAGGGCGGAGGAAAGCAGAGAGATTAGCAGACTGATGCAGTTTGGTGTTAAAAAGGTACCAAGGAAACAAAGACAGTTACACATTTAAAGAGAATGTTCTATTCCATATAACAGGCTGCAAAGAAAGTTTGTAGGATTTTCAAAATATTGGCAAATGCTCAGCGAATGTGAACAAATTCTGCCAGCTATTTCTAGTGAAACTGTAATGATTTTACAAGAGAGGTGAACTTTCTGAGTCCTTCCTGCACGTTTGGAAATGACCCAATTTTGCCCTAATTCCTAGTAGTTTAGTTGAGCATACAATTCTCCAAGATCTTCAAAGATACTGCTCTGTTTCTTCTGATACCTGATGACACTGATGATGTTCCTTTGCAGGCTGCAAACTCTTTTCTTGTTTCAGAGGCTTCCGGGGCCTTCTTGTTACCCCTGGTGTTCTCAGGTTCCACACTGATCTATTTCTGTGTATCTAGACCTATATGCTTTCTGCTGGCACCCAGGATAGCTTATGAATTTGAATAGTATTGATTATCTTTAGTTCTTGGAAATTTCTGTTCCCTCTTTGATAGTTTATTCCTCTTCATTTTCTCCTTTCTCTTTTTCTGGAATTCTGGTTAGCAGAATGTTGGACCTAGACACTTATGTCTTATCTTTTATTCTGACATTTTCCTTCTTTTTGTTTTTTCACCCTCTAAACTCTCGAAAGCTCTCTGAAAGTACGGCACCCATGAAACAGGAAAAAGGAAAAGCAAAAATATTTTCTTTTGCTCCTCTGAGAATATTCAGAGGTTTTTGTTAGTTTTCTTCAGCTCACTGCATCATCTCTGCTTCTTCTGTATCCCTTTCTCAGCTTACATGCTTGTTTTGCCCTCTGTTTTGCCCAGGAGAGGATTTCTCCCACACCTGGTGGTCTTTGCTGACCATTCATATTTGAGAAGAAGACACTAAAATGCTACTGGAAGTTGCAAGGCGGGGACTTCACTACGGGGCATGAGTGGCTGTCAGGGGATCCCTTTCAGGCTCCACAGTATTTTCTTGGTCCCAGTTTCTCCAGAAAGGACTCCACCAATATCCCTCCTGAAAGACAGGACTCTGACTACCCGTGACTGGAGAGCTACTCAGAAAGAGTGCTAAGGATTCCACCCTTATTTTAGGAGTATTCCACTTAATATGTTTGTTTTCAATCTACTGCCCTACTCCCCACTCCTCCAACTGGCTCTGTTTCTAGATATGTTTTTAAACAGGAGCAAATACAACAGCTAAATAAATGAATAAGATAAAAAACATAAAATACAAAACATAAATAAAATAAAATATACAAAGCAGGCCATTGTCACCTACACATCAACATCTTTTGTCCCATTTCTACATTTTAAAGAATTTGTCTCCAGGTCTCCAAAACATTTCATGCTCTCCATCTGCCCACCATGACAAAATCGAACAAAACAAGATTGTCTATACTTCTTAAAAAAAAATTGTCTCAGATTTGTTTAGAAAAGAGCAATGTTCCCAACAATAC